ACGAATTAGGAAAAAAAAAATGAAATAGTTAAAAGGACGAAAGTGAATAGTGTCCGAAAAGTAAAATTGTGGAAATGACTCGGTCCTTAAAGGAAGTTGTCAATCCAAATGAAAGAGTCTCGGAAACCATTTCCAAGCACTCGAGACGACACCCAGTGACGAGAAACAGAGTTCAGAAAAGAAAATTAGACGGAAAAAATTTATCCGTAAAATTTGAGAAAAAGGAAAGGGAAGAAAATGACTTGGTCATTACATTCAACCAACCCTGAAGCTGTTTGTGCCTTATCGCGTTCTCCTCACCATGTAAATCAAAAGGCTAGGAAAGCTCAACTGAAACTTTCAACAACGGAGCCTCCTGTAACTTGAACTACTTTCCTGATATTATATATATATATATATATATATATATATATATATATATATATATATTTGTGGTGAGGGGTAATAAAGGAATATTAAAAGGGCAATTCCGGAATAAAGGGTTTAAAATGGTTACGTGCCATGCACATGACCAACTGGCGTCCAATTCTCACCGGAATAGTACCGGAAGTGGCTTAATTGCACATTTTTATATCTTGTAGGGATTTATATAAATAAATCTAACTAAATGGGTGTAAGTTGCACAAATTTAAAACCACATGGGTGTTTTTCAGACTTTCCCCAATAGGATACTCCAACAGATCGATTCCAATTTCTTAGAGTGTAGGACCTACTGAGTTTGAGGAGAGTGTCAATGTGTATAAGATGTATAGAGGTGATTGTGAATTTGTGAATCGTGTGTAACCAAAGTCTTGCAATAGACTCGTGACCAAATCTAAGATTATACAATGTATATTATCTTCTTCTTCTTTTTTTAATAAATAATTCAAGTATGGTAGCATCTGAAGAAAAAAATAAATAAATAAATAAAATAAAAATAAAAAAATCTCTAGTCTGTGTAGTTGCAAACTCAATATTTTCTTGTGAGTTATGCAATTATAGTTGTGAATGTAACATATATAACATAGAGTTATTAAAGATGGCAATGGTCACAAAATGGGCATTATTGTCCTTTCATGTGAATAAGGGCAATATGGTCTTTTAATTCAAAATTTTGGATCACAAGATAACACATGCGTCGGTGCCTAACCGGATTGGGTCATCTACAACAAAAAAGATATAGTTTGGGGGGTTAGTTGCAATTTTTGTAATTTAGGAGGATTTGTTGCTAATTGGTCTATAGTTCAGGAGGGTTTTTTTGCATTTTACCCATATATTTATTTACATTCTTACAAAAGTAACCTAACCTAACAAATCCTCCAATTGGCTTCTCTCTTCTTCTTCTTTTTTAATTATCGAAAGAGTTAATGGGCTAGGCCCACAATTAAAAATACGTAAACAGAGCAAGACGAGTGACACGAGTTCACTTATCTCCCAATAAAGTGGATATAGGCTTTGAAAAATCAACACATTCAAAGTATGGGACGGGTGTGAGATTCTGATTAATAAAAATAAATGGGAACAAGTTCAGGAAAACCTGTGCCATATCCGCTCCATTTCCACCCCGAGCGTTAATAGCATAATGTCATATGCTATTGTTGTGGTACGAGTATTGACTCGATTGCATGTGAGTATTGAAGCATATTTTACTTTATTTGAATTATAAAGGTCGGATATTTTCTTTAAAAAGAGTTAACTGCACTAATGACCCAGATTGAAAATATCTTCCAAAACTATTTTCTTAAAAATCCCTGAAATAAAATATCTTCAAAAGATATTTATGAAAAATACCCCAAGAAAAGAAAAAAATTCTGAAGAATTGCGCATCCATACCCCTACGGACATCGGGAGCAACTAGAGTACCTTTCAAAAGTAAAGATACGTATTTCGTGGAAACCACTTGGGATGAAGGTACGTGAAATCAAAAACCAACTCTGAGTATGAGAAGTGAGGTTGTGTCAAAAAGTGACAAACGGGGAAAAGACGAAATAGGGAAAAAAATGAAATAGTTAAAAGGACGAAAGTGAATAGTGTCCGAAAAGTAAAATTGTGGAAATGACTCGGTCCTTAAAGGAAGTTGTCAATCCAAATAAAAGAGTCTCGGAAACCATTTCCAAGCACTCGAGACGACACCCAGTGACGAGAAACAGAGCTCAGAAAAGAAAATTTAAAGGAAAAAATTTATCCGTAAAATTTGAGAAAAAGGAAAAGGAAGAAAATGACTGGGTCATTACATTCAACCAACCCTGAAGCAGTTTGTGCCAGATCGCGTTCTCCTCACCATGTAAATCGAAAGGCTAGGAAAGCTTAACTGAAACTTTCAACAATGGAGCCTCCTGTAACTTGAACTACTTTCCTGATATTATATATATATATATATATATATATATATATATTTGTGGTGAGGGGTAATAAAGGAATATTAAAAGGGCAATTCCGGAATAAAGGATTTAAAATGGTTACGTGCCATGCACATGACCAACTGGCGTCCAATTCTCACCAAAATAGTACCGGAAATGGCTTAATTGCACATTTTTATATCTTGTAGGGATTTATATAAATAAATCTAACTAAATGGGTGTAAGTCGCACAAATTTAAAACCACATGGGTATTTTTCAGACTTTCCCCAATAGGATACTCCAACAGATCGATTCCAATTTCTTAGAGTGTAGGACCCACTGCGTTTGAGGAGAATGTTAATGTGTATAAGATGTATAGAGGTGATTGTGAATTTGTGAATCGTGTGTAACCAAAGTCTTACAATAGACTCGTGACCAAATCTAAGATTATACAATGTATATTATCTTCTTCTTTCTTTTTTTTTAATAAATAATTCAAGTATGGTAGCATCTGAAAAAAAAATAAAAATAAAAATAAAAATAAAAAGAAAAATTCTCTAGTCTGTATAGTTGCAAACTCAATATTTTCTTGTGTGTTATGCAATTATAGTTGTGAATGTAACATATATAATATAGAGTTATTAAAGATGGCAATGGTCACAAAATGGGCATTATTGTCCTTTCATGTGAATAAGGGCAATATGGTCTTTTAATTCAAAATTTTGGATCACAAGATAGCACATGCGTCGGAGCCTAACCGGATTGGGTCATCTACAACAAAAAAGATATAGTTTGGGGGGTTAGTTGCAATTTTTGTAATTTAGGAGGATTTGTTGCTAATTGGCCTATAGTTCAGGAGGGTTTTTTGCATTTTACCCATATATTTATTTACATTCTTACAAAAGTAACCTAACCTAACAAATCCTCCAATTGGCTTCTCTCTTCTTCTTTTTTTTTTTTTAATTATCGAAAGGGTTAATGGGCTAGGCCCACAATTAAAAATACGTAAACAGAGCAGGACAAGTGACACGAGTTCACTTATCTCCCAATAAAGTGGATATAGGCTTTGAAAAATCAACACATTCAAAGTATGGGACGGGTGTGAGATTCTGATTAATAAATAAGATGGGAACAAGTTCAGGAAAACCTGTGCCATATCCGCTCCATTTCCACCCCGAGCGTTCATAGCATAATGTCATATGCTATTGCTGTGGTACGAGTATTGACTCGATTGCATGTGGATATTGAAGCATATTTTACTTTATTTGAATTATAAAGGTCGGATATAAATTTTATCTTTAGTTTTAGTTTTGAATATGAATCTAAGAATAAAGTATGAAAAAAAATTTCCTGAATGAATTACAATAAAAAAAAAAATGAATTTTCATCTAGGAAGTACGGATATAGATACAAGATATGGGTATAACATGATACGGACAAGGTAATACGACAAATATTTTTTTAAAAAATAAAAATAAAAATAGAATACAAATACAGAATGAATACGTAAAAAATAATAATATAATTTATATTATTATATATGTAAATAATATATATTTTTACCATTTAATCCATATAATTATAAATAAATCAATAATTTGGAGTTTAGAACTAGATTGTGTTATCCTTATTTTTTAAAATTTTATATTATTTTTTAATTAACCCATAATATATTATAAATTTCATTGAATTTTACTTTTCTCTAAAAAAAAATAATAATAATAATTGCAAAATCACCCCACTATATGAAGGTGTCCAAAACTTATCATTTTCGTATCGTATTCGACTACAAAAATGAAATATTCACTATTAATGATAGTTCTAGTCATATTCGACCAAACTGTATCCAGACGACACCTTCAACTATCCGTGCGTCCTAAATCTGCATTCTATTTACATGAATCCATTTTCATGCATTTGCCTATTAATGCCAATCCTCGATAAAAGTTAGTTGACTATGTCTTAAACAATATTATGTGTGCAAAAACAATGCAAAAATGCAATACCGCGTGCCCGAGGCATTATTGCATTCGATAAGAAAGGGGCCTAATGCAATAATGCGTGCACAAACCATGCAAGATAGTGGGGAACCAAACACGCCCTTGAGGCTTAAGTGTAGGAATGCAACTTAAACAAATTAATTTGAATCTAATCTGAATTTTAATGTATTTGCTCACCAATTTTTCAAAATTTTGAATTGATAAGTTGAACTTGAATTAAGATGTCTGGCAACCTGAAACATAACTCAAATTGGACAATCCAATGTGTTGCAATCTTTTAATTCCTTTTTTTTTTTTTTTTTACTATAAATAATTTCTTATTAGTAAGTTGATGAAAAATTATATTCAACCCAACCCAGCCCAAATGTCAAACCCAATATAAATTTAGTTCAAAATTTTATCAAAGTGAGTTTGAAATTCTTATTTTGGATTTGGTATTGAAAGAAATTGAGTACAAAAAAAAAAATATATTTAAGTAGCCAGATTCAGTACTCTCAAACTAACAAATTAGTTTGAAATTGAAAGTGGATTAGATTTTATTTTTTATTAAATATGAGCCAACTCTGAACTAGCTTTAGAAATTGTTTAGGACTCAAATTTGAGGTTCCTAGTGCCAAATAATAATAATAACAATAATAATAATAAAAAATAAATAAAATAATGACATGAAAAATTAAGATGGAAGAATAATAATAACATGATATATTCATGCAATATCATCAAAACAAGATTCATGCATCTACACAGAACTTCACTGTAAGTTCCAAAAAAGAGGACCAGTCTTTCTTTTCCACTTTGTTCAGCCTATACATCCAAAATAGACCCAAACCACATAAACAAAACCCTAAATTCAAAAGACACCCTCAAACCCAATATCATATATATAATTATATATATATTATATCTATATATGTAATAGACAATAATAGCATTAACAACAAGAACTGACTAAGAACCAACTGAAAAGGAAAGAGAAAGAAACCCTTCTTTTCTTTCCTCAAAAAGCTAAAAGGAGCAGTAGAAGTATTATTTATTCGAGACCTTTGCCTTGAGTGGAAATAGCAAGGTCCGGCCAACCAAAGCAATCCGAATCCCCCAACCCACTTTCACCACCACTACCAATCTGCCAGTTGTTGCAACCAGATGACGTCCCATTGCCACACCCACCACCACCGCCGCCGACGCCTCCGCCGCCACAGCCATTCCCTTCACCGGCTTCCCCAACGGGCCAAACCGCGGTACCAAGTCCAAACCCCATTTCATTCAACCCGGTTCCGAGCCCAAGCCCGAACCCGCCCAGAGCCAGGAACCCAGCCCCCTGAGTGCTCAGCAGCGAAGTGAAGCTCCCGCCGGACAACGGCGAGCCGATATCGGGTTTCATCCCGGAAATCATTGAAACCGGGTTGGCGGGTATCGGGTCGTGGGTCATGCTCGAATACGAAGACGAAGAAGTGGCGGTATTCGGAGCGGTGCGAGAGCGCTTGTTGGAGCTGGAGGCCTTGCGGGTCCCGCCGCCAACGGGGACGTTCCGGAGGGTCCCACCGCGGGTCCAGTACCGGCGACACGACTTGCAGAAATGGCGGGGCTGAGAGAGGTTGTAGTTGTTGTAGTAGCAGAACTTGGTGTCGGTCGAGTCGCATCGCGGGCACGGCACGTGCTCCGGCTCCGGCGGGTGCGTGCCCGCTTGTTGGACCCTCGCCGGACGTCGCTCACCGGATTCTGACGGCATTTTTTTTCTCTGTATCAATCTCTAGCTTGATTAAGTTCAGAGTAGAGAGAGTAGGAAACGAGGAACGACAGACAGAGAGAACAGAGATAGTAGAGTGTCTAAAGGGGGTTTATTTTGAAAGGTGGGAATGGGTTTATATTGAGAGAGAGAGAGAGAGAGAGAGTTTTAGAGAGAGAAAGAGAGGAGAGGGGGGAGACAAACTCTGACGCTTAATATGGGAATGGGATGAAGCTGGGAAGGTGTTGCAGTGGAAAGCAATTTCAGAAGCGGTGGTTTGTATTTTTGTGGCCAACGACGACGTTTTAAAACGGCTCGGGTTCTACTTCCTTCGTTGCGCCGAATACATTATGTTGTTTTCATCACGTGTCGATATGTGATTGGATATAAGGCGAGTAAAGCAAGTGCTAGCAAGTAAGAAAGAAGCCCGATTTGGGGGGATGTCGTTTTTTACTCGCCTGGCTTCGAATAGGGAGATGCCACATGGCCTACATCATGAATGAGGATGGTTTATAGTTTGTAATTGGATTAGCATAATAACACTCGCTTTTGACTAAAAAATTGATTTTCAAACCTTAACTTGTAGTATTATATTACCATCACCTTGAATGATGAGAAGTGATATAGTGTTCTAAACATCATGAATTGGATTAACTTTTGTTCTCTCTCACACATGTTTTGTCTGCTTACACTTCAACCCTCGTTCGGGACGGACAATTTTTTATTTTTTATTAATATATGATTTTTTTTTTTTTTTAATATATCTTTATAAAATTACTAATGCCCTCGGAAATTATTATAGAATTTCAGTCTCGTCTCTTTCACCTAAAATTTTAGGTCCGCCTTGCTCATTCCTCAACATTCACTCTCAAAGGAAAGCAAGTATCTAGTCGACCTAAAATTAACTCTCCCTCTTAAAAATAATTTTCAAAATGAATATTCAAACCAAAAATGTATAATCACTTATAATCTTAGGATGCATTAATTGTTCGCAATGACAAAATTGCCCTTTCTTTGATTATACCTTTAGAAAAATTATTGGCCTATTTGGTTTGTAATTATATAATTAGTTTTTCGTTCTCAAAAAACTGAAAATATAAAATTGTTCAAAAAACTCTGTTTGGTTCAGTTTTTTGAAATTTAGGTTATAAAAATGTCTATTTTTAAATAACAGTCTTTTATTATTCCTTGAAAATTATTCTCTATTTTTTGAGTTTCTGGTAAATGTTTTCAGAGTTATAAATCAAACAGGTCCTATAATTGACCAATGAACCAGTGACCTAGCGGTATCAAGCCCTCCTTTTTCAAAGAAATGTCGGGAATTCAAATTTCAATAAAGGCATTTGTATGTGAGTACCAATTAAAAAAGAAATAAAACCCACAATGTTCGATGAGATACCATTACACTATATGTTTGATGGTTCTATAAATACAAATAAAAATTTAAAAATAATTTAATCAGGTAGAAGTGTTTGAAATTTTTATAATTGACCATACACCTAATACCTGAACTAAATTGACATAAAAATAATAATAATAATAATAAAAAAAACCCATTTCCGGAGGTCTTAAATAACATAAAAATGACAAAATCTTACTGAAACCATTTGGTTTAAAATTTAGTGTGGAAGATATACCTAACTTTAATTCGAAATTGATTAGAAGAGGATTTTTGTAAAATGTAGGACAAAGATCCTCTAAGTTAAATTTGTCAATGTTATCGTAAGATTAATTGTTTAAAATTTGATCTCCCAATTAAAATTATTGTCAAAATAACTTATGACCTCCTTTTAAGTTTGTCCAAATATATTTTAGTTAAAATTATTGTCAAAATAGCCCCTCACATCCCTTGACATTTGTCAAAATAACCCCCAACACTCCTTAAAGTTTGTCCAAATTTCTCTGACCACCCATAACGTTAATCAATGGAATTATTTTTGCATGAGTTAAATACAATTTTTTTGTGAGCAGTTGAAGTTAATTTATTATTATTATTATTATTATTATTTGAATAAGTGGTTTGTTGATGAATCAAACGATGAGTTATTATTAGTTAATGTCTATTTTGTTGAATTATATGAATTATTTATTTAATACTTTATTGACAACAAATATGATGAATTATATGTTGAATTGGTTATTTGGTATACTAATAAGGTCGTTTGAGTCATTTTTGCTTACTTAGGAATTCGTTCAGCATGCGATGTGTTTCAGGCGTTATGTTTTTGGTCAATATCAAAACAATCGTTTTTGTTGTAGGAGTGTTTTAGGTAGAAATCCGAACCATATTTGATAACAAAAATTTGTTTTAAGAAATTCAAAATTTTGCTTTAGATCCTACATTACAGTACTAAAATACATAATATTATTAATTTGGTGATATAGGTTTTGACCAAAAAAACTTGACATGTTATGAACTATTCTAAATCAATATTAACCGTTCCAAACATGATATGAACCCAAATTTGAATATCAATATCATAATACTTTCTAAACAGACCCTTAGTAATAGTTTGGACATTTATAAAATATTTTATTAATCCTGAATATTCGGTTAGTCAGAAAAATTTAGATAAATCTAACAAGAATTATTTAGACAATAATTTTAGTTAAAAGATATTTAGATACACCTCACGAGAGTTGGGGGGTTATTTTAACTTAAGTGATATGATGTGTCACGGATTATCTAAAATTTAATTTACTATAATATAGCCTATATAGATGATATAAAATAGAGTGATAGAGGAACCTTTGATAGAGAGGATTTTAAAAAGTAGAGTAATAGAAAACAAGTATGATTATAATAAAGTCAAAAAGCCTTTGAACATGGTAATGTGTCCAAAAGTTTACCATATAATCATAAGCGAAGAAATTAAAACTTCTATTATACCACTTGGAATCATCAACCCATGCATGAATCATATAATCACACTTTACTAGTAGTCCCACTTTATTTTTTTAATTTTTTATTTTCAAAGTCCCACTTTATAAGTTGGGTCTCAATCTCACCAACATAATCAACATCAGGTCAAAATTACAAAAAAAAAAAAAAAAAATTGAATTGAAAATCTGTGTTGATGAGAGAGAGAGAGGGGTGTTATATGACCGACAGCATCATTGTGTCGGGTGGCGTGGGGAGCAATAATTGGGTGCATTTTGGTCTATGCTTTCTCTCTCATCAACACCTCTCTCTCTCTCTCTCTCTCTCTCTCTGTGTTAACAAAAGTCCAGCCAGTCCCACAAATCATATTTCCATCCCGTCGTCTCTTGTTTTGGTACTCCTACAATTTTTGCTGCCAATTTGCCGGATTTATCGGTCGTCCTCATCTCTGCAAAATAAATATTTTATTTTATGATATTTTCAATAGTAATCGGAATTTTTGTTTAGAAAATAAAATAATTAGTTTAAAAAATCATTGCAAAATTTTTAATATTTTTTTATACTATACTTTTCCTACAATGCACAAATAATGTAAAAGTACTAAATTAGTGTATTATTTTATGATATTGTAAATAGTAATTGAAAGTATATTTTATAATATTTATTTTTAAAAAAATATAATTAGTTTAAAAAGGTCTTTTCATAATTTTTTAAATAATTTTTTATACTATTTATTACTATTGTTGTTGCTGTAAAATATTAAATTAGTGTTGTGATTTTTTTTTTTATCATTTTTTACAAAATATTTTGATACTGTGCACAACAAATATTTTTGTGCAGAGTATAGACACATGGGTATATATATAGACACACACCACACATGGTATTTTCACCCAATTTATTAATCTGTTTCAGGAATGTGTATATATATATATATATATATATTCTTAGTGTGGAATGTGTGTCTCTATATATATATATATAGTCTATATTCTTAACATTGTGATGATTTGTTCATAAAAGATAAAAGGTTAAAGGTTAATTTGGTCAATTTTTTTATGTTAGTTGGTTTCAAGAGGTGCCTTTGTTCACTTTTCAATCTTTAAGGGTGTCTTTATCTACCTTTCAATCTTCAAGTGATGTCATTGCCCAAAAAATAAATAACTTTTATTTAAGGACCTTTTTGGCAAATCTCATGAATGGTATTATACTTTACCCTTTTATTATTATTAAAGGTTTTTTTCAATGTTACTGTTACAATAAAATCCTTACCAAACGTCCCTTGTTTTGTTGGTTATACAAACACTCAAAACAGTACTATGCAATAAGTAATGCACGTATACTCCACCATATCTATATATATATATATTTACATGATCTAATATATGGAGTAATATATATATATATATATATATATATTATTATATACGCTATATAGGATCACTAGTATCGTATTGTCATATCTATGATCTATCTGGATGAATATTTTAAAACAGTACTGCACTACCCAGCATAACCCGATGAATATTTTAAAACAGTACTGCACTACCCAGCATAACCCACTCCTCTTGAATAGTTGAAGCGGAGGGAAATATCTTTGTCTCTCTATAGATACAGACGTATATATATATATATTTGGTGGTGGCGCAGAAGATCAGAGAGAGGTAGCAGGTGACAGAAAGGACGCGTGTCGGTGGGAGAAGACCGTAACAGGGATTGGTTTTAGGCACGCGCGCGGCCTCACCCCTCTCTCTGGTTTTTGTCCGTTCTCATAATCCAAATTTTTTTCATATAAATGAAATATTTTGTCTTATTCTATTAAATTTAATTAAAAGGATTAATTCTATAAAATATAATATTGTAAAATGTATTTTTTCAAGAAATATATATATATTTTTCTTTTTTCTTGAATATAGTATTTCATTATTCTCAAGTTAAATAGCACTGTGTGTATTAACTATGGAATGCTTTTATAATTGAATATTACTTTTTAGTAATGTTTTAAGTTTGCAAAAGATTAAAGCAAGTTTTAGAAGCTATGTTAACCCTTTTCAATTAGATGTCACTCAAAAAGAAAATGTTTCCTTTCCCAATTTTTTATTTATTTATTTATTTTTAAAACAAAAAATTTCAAATTACCACTTTGTATATCAAATGACGAAATTATTTCGCTCAATTTTAACCATTGCAATTAAAATCAAAGGTAGCATTTACAATTTTTTTAACAAATGACGGTATCCAGAGAGGGAGAAAAACAAATGTACCATTTAAAAAACTTCTTATTTTCTATTTTTTACGAAATAATAATAAAAAGTAATTGATGAATTGCGAATATGTGAAAATGTATATTTACGTACTGGTTTAGAGTATGTAATAACATGCATTATTTGTTTTGACAAGGTGGAATTATTTTTTTCAATTGACAAAAAAAAAGTTTGACTAGTCTAAATATTCTCTATTTCACTCGAGGTATGTCCCAAGTCCCTCTCTTTTATTTTTTAATAAAGAAATCTATTTAACCGAAAATATGTTAATTTGTGTTTATATATATGAGTCAATTGTTGACAAGATGACTCATAAATACATATGACCTAATTTTTAACCCTTACATTTTTATTTTTATTTTTGTTTTTATTTTGGAGCTTACTCCATGTAGATGTGCAATTCATGTGGGCATTGTCACACCTACATTGTTCAAAAAAATTAAAGGTACACACTACTGCTATGTTTTGGAAACAATTGAGAACTGAAAATAAATATAGGATCAGAATGAACTTAGTTTGAGGCATGTGAATACATTATTTTTAAGAATAGACAATATCTCGGTGCAACAGGTTTATCTGCACCTGAGACATTATCTCGGTGCAATAGGTTTATGGAGTCCAACTCTCCAGGACATAACAACCAAATTCTCTATGGACGTAGAGGAAGTCGAACAACTTCAATATGTTCCTCTGGTGCATGAAATTACAAAATACGAACAATCATAGCCAAGGTGGTATTTGGCAAAACATTCGTAGCTAACAAAATACGAACGAGAGTAGCCAAAATAGGGGTTGGAAGAATATTCTAACAACAATAGGAAATGTATACAACAACAGTCGTATGAAAATAATTAAATGAGTAATAGAATCAGTAGTCTGAAACACAAGAAAAAAATCTTTAGATATATATTGCAGAAGACGACTAAAAGAGGGTATTTTTCTATGTTAAAAATGGTGAGACTTTGAGGTAAAACTTGATTTTAGAATTTAAGTTGTAATTTGTATTTTCAAGTATTTGGTATACATGATGCATGTGTGCATTTCATGTTAGTGGGGTAGTAAATGGTCTTGATGAAGAAGGTCATGTAAAACTAAGAGGTAATGGTTATGTTAGTGGGAATAATGGGTGTAATTAGGCCTTTAATGTAATGGTTATGCATACATATGTGAGGCTTATATAATCATGTACTTTAGTCATTTTAGAATATGAATTAGAAGTGGAATAAAATTAATTATTCAACTATTCCTCCACATCATTCTCTTCCAAAATATTATTGAGTATTGTGTGTATCTAGGCCACTATTTTCAACAAAGTGGTATCAGAGCTAAGTCAGAAAGTGGTATAAGAGAAAAAGCCAACATATTTATAGCCAAATATTACAACAGTTGTCTACACAATATCAGCGGTTGCAGGATATATCTGCACTATATCAGTAGGATATTAGAGTAGCATGTTAAAATCTACATTTGCATGACATTAGGGTAACATTATACGCATGTTATTTGGGAAACTCAGTTGTGGGAATGTTGAGGGCACAAAAATCTCAACTATTAAAAGACTCCATCAAATGAAATAAACTGAGGTACTTCGAATTAAATATCTAATTTATATAGCAAATCCCCACACATTTCAAAATACAGGAGTACCTATGGAAATTACCAGAGGACCATGAGAATCCAATACATCAGAACTGGTGTCTTTTGGACTATGAACCAGCCCTAAGGGAAGTAAGCAGTAATCTATAGAAAAATTGGTAAAACGATGAACCGAGATTTCTTATTGTAAACTAGACAAATAACCCCCCCACATTATTGTCCTATATTGAAGCTGTTTATAACGGGTCGGCATGATGTGCGAATAGGCCTTACGCCCTACTTGGGTTTTCATGAGTGCTTTAGAGAGTCTGCCTAAGCTCTCATACATGGTGGCCCCACCTTCACACTCATATAGGTGAATCCATCGAGTATGTACTGCAACTAAACACACAATCCACAAGACATATGGAATTCATTAAGATTTCAATTTAACCTTTTACGTTTCAATTTTGCACTATCTACACAATAAGGAGGGATTCTAAAAAATAACATTGATAGTGCACTCTGCCTGATCAACCAATAATTTGTTTTTATCCATATGAACCTACTTTATGAAATCTCCATTCACATAGGTTGGGTTACCATCACTTCACCTTTGTTATAGGTATAAGTCCCATCCCTTTGATGTATCACTCGGTAGCTTTTTGCATGGTGGTTCAACTCATGATTCTTGTATGTTTAACGGAGTAATTCATAGGTCAGAGATAAAATTTTCTAAACTTCCAAATGGTTTGTATTGACATCTTAAAAACAAAATTTATACTTAAATATATTATTTTGTTAATCACAATATATATATTTTTACGAGTAAATATTACATTGTTGAAGCCGGTACCCTAATATGTCCGGATATTTAGCACAATATAAATGAGTATGTTATCGTTTATAAAAATTTGAAACAAGTCATCAACAAAGAAGAGTTAGATAATCTTTTAATTATGCTCATTTGTCATTAAGGAGTCTAATTGAATGTTGTTTTGACGTTTGGAAAGCTTATTGCTCAATTTTAAAACGTACGAGTCATTTTCCATTTGAAACACAAAGATTAATTGTAGTTGCATCAAATGGATTACACAAGTTTAGAAGTCAAAAAGCAATAATCTAGGCTGAATTTCAATGGCATGATGAGGATGAAAGTTATATTAGTAACAATGATAGTATCGATGGACATACATACTATTGACATGGTAGATCAACAATATCATAGTGAAGTGGATATTATACAAAATGGAATCACCGCACCAATATGGTAACCACCTAGATAAATCATTTGTTACTGTTTCTCGTTCATTTAAACTATGATATAATTTATTGGGCAAAGTTTAAAAAATCCCCTCTAACTTTTACTCTTTTCCACGACTTAGTACACAAAAGTCAAAACCCATTAGACCAATTGGTAGTGTTTGAAGCAATTAAATAGAATAAAACTATAGTCCTAATACAATGCATTTAACAAGCTTATATAGATACATATTGAATATGAAATTAAAAAATAGTTATATGGGTGTGATATTTTTATTTTTATTTTTATTATTTTATTATTTTTTTTTTTCAGAAGCAAAAGAGGGGTGTGATTTGCTCACATTGGTTTGGTTTTTTATGAAATTGAATGAGGCCGAAGAAAAAGGAGTAACAATAAAAAAATAAAAAAAATTGGAAACAAAATCAGTAATTTATATTTTGTTTCTATCAACTAAATGAAGGCATACAAGAAACAAAAAATTGAATTTGTGAGTATCATATATATTATTAATATACATATGTAAGTATGGAGGAATGAAAAAAAGAAAACAATCAGACTTTTTCTCCTTTTGAAAACTGATACTTCCATCAACATTGATACCAAATAGATCACCAAATGAAAATAAATAAATAAAAACGTATACCCCAAACCAAAGGGAAAAAAAAAAAGTCTAGATCAATTATATAGAAAAAATCCTAAAAAAATATTGATCAAGAGAGAGCAAAACACATTGAGAATAAAGTTCAGAGATAATTTTCTGGAAGTTGCGAACATAGATCAGTCAACAATTTCTTTAGTTATATGAGATGATTATGAACCCTAGCCCAATTAGAGAGAGGAATGATAAAAGAGAGCAAACTCAGAATTTTTTTCCACCAACAAACTCAGAATTGAAAAGGAGAAAAAAATAGCTTTTTTGCCCAATGGATACTTTAGTCATTTTGTATCTTTAGTTAAGGTCCAGTTGAATTTGTTACCCCCCTTTGATATTTGAGGGGTTTTTTTGTTGGAATAAAAATAATCAAAAAGGATTTAATGAAAAAGAGTGAAAGTCAGAGGCGGTTTTTTGGGCTTTGTCCTAATTTATTTTCATTTTTCTTTTACTAATTGAAATTCTTTTATCTGGTTGTTAAAGTCTAGATCCAATTGGCGTGTTTAAAATATATCATTAGATATTTATTTTTTTCTTTAAATAAAATTTATTATTATTTGGTGAATTATTTTATACATAATTGAATGTATATGACACAATTAGGAGTAATGATGTTAGTTTGCTTAGTCTAATAATTTTTATACAGCTCAATTTAAATTCATCTCCCCAAGATGGTAACATTGTAAAATTGTAAAGTGAAAATTATTTTACTCATGAAAGGACTTTTTGAATTTTGTCATCAAAGGATTCAAACGTATGAAATGACTTTTTAATTTAATGGGGCTTATTAAATTAACATTTGCCAAACATACAGAAAAGGCCTTCCTCTAACACCATTCATGTAAAGGCCTTCTTACTAAATGGACTTTTGGTATCACTTGTCAGGACGCCCTCCCAAACGCCACCTACTTATATTAAATGAAGCCCTCCCAAACGCCATGAGAATTGGAAAAACAGAAGTTATAGCAAGCAACTAGAGCCCAAGCCCAAGCCCGAGCCCAAGCCCAAGCCCAAGCCCAAGCCCAAGCCAAACTAGCAACAAAATTTCAGAACATTCATTCGACCGTTTCAGTCTCAATTCTGGTAATGGCGCCATTGCAAAGCATGATGCTTTCCTCTCCCAATCAGTCTGGAGGACGCGGCGGAGGCCTAAGAAGGCATTCAAATTTGTTGGTGGTGTTTAAATTTGTCTGTTCGATTTTTGGAGCCTAATAGGTTGTTCTTGGTTTGTAAATATTTCAAATTTTCTTTCTTATAAAAAAAAAAAAGCCAATAAAAGGCAGTAGTATCATTCATTGAGCAGTATGGTAAAAAGCAATGGGCAAATTCATATTCAAGAATTGATTTTAACTCCAGATTTTAACAAGTGATAACCTCTGCAAACCAGAGAATTATATGATATAGGATACACAAGCATACTAAAAAAGTAACATGGAATTCAATAACTTTCAGTCACTACCAAAAGAAAATTGGTTAGGATGTTTGGGAATTTCTTCTTCAATTTCTCGGCTTCAGGATTGCTTCCATCGGATGGAGCTTGTGAGTGGTGAGTAAGAGGTTATCGACGTTTTCTTCCTCCCCATCCCTCAATCTCCACTCGAATTCTTGTACAAGTCTACCAATTGCCGTGCATGAAATTAACATCGCTTGAAGAGCACCTGCACACACCCTCTTTCCGCCTCCAAAGGCCATCGTCTTGTGCAACTCCATCTGATCATACTTCCCGTCAAGAAATCTTTCAGGGTTCCAATCTTCAGGATTCTCCCACAGTTTCTTGTCCATGTTGCATCCATAAATGTTTATAGCAATCTAAGAACGAAACCAAAAGTCAGAAATGCAGGCAAAAACAATAATAAAAAAAAAAAGACAAGAGTTCTCAAGAAGAGTAGTCAACCTCACTTCCAGCAGGGATATAGTACCCTCCTAGTTGTGTATCTTGATGTACATATCGAAGAGGTACGAGTGGAACAGGAGTATGATTTCTCAATGTTTCATGGAAAACAGCAGACAAATATGGGAGCTGAGACAGATTTTCTTCCGTGATCCTGTTTGATCCACAAACACTTTTTATCTCTTGATAGAGACGATCCTGTTGGATTAATATTGAATCAAAATCACGCATTTGTAGAATATCTAAAATGGAGATGATTCAATTTTTCTCTTGACAAGCTAGGGGGAGGGGGACTCGAATATGGACAAATCCGCTCAGGGAGTTGGGTGCTATACCAACTAGGCCACTACATAATACCCGAGATGATGCATTCATTGGAGAGATAATAGATGGAAATGTGTGATTGAAACAGCCTACCTGCCGCATTGGATCTTTAGCAAGTTCATACATAGCCCATTCTGTGGTGACCAAAGTAGTGTCTGATGATTCAATAATGACCTCCCAAAGTAACATTCTTATTTGTTTCTCTGATAATGTTTTTGCTTCGGATAACAAGTAATCGAGATAACAATCCACTTCCTGCTTTAACTCCCAACCAATTCAAGTCATGTTAACTACGACAGACTTAAAACATGAGTAACAATGTGCACTTTAAGGCAAGGCAGGTTTACCTCTCCCGAAGCGATTCGCTGTCTCTGCTTGCTCATCAGGGCCTTCATCACTGCCTGCCTCCGTAAATCCATTTGCTCGATTTTTATTTCAAATCCTCTGTTTGGAATCCACCTTAAAAAAGGAAAAAAATCTCTCCAGTCCACGTCAATAGCACCCGCCATTGGGTCAATCACTAAAACCTTAAAGATCTCCTCCCTTGACAAGGTGATTCCAAGCCCCTCCACATAAATGGATTCCACAACCTTCCCCAAAGCCTGCAAATGTCATTCATTTTTCTCAATATTATTGATTTTCACTTCTTTATTATCAGTACAATATTTTACAAGATGATGACTTCTTATATAATAGTATAAAGCTCACTTCTTTCAATGCTAATCCAAAAAGTTCAGACTCGCAGATGGTTCTGAATTTCACAGCTTCAAGTGGACAATTCTTCACATGAGCATGCAAGTATTCTGAAGTATTTTCAATCAAGATGTCTCTATGGCCACGGTGTCGTTTCTGATGTATTATTCCTCAGAAATAAATGTAAATTAAGTATATAGAAAAATGAAAGAGTAATTAACAAGCACATTTATGGAGAATCTTGTAGCACAAACCTGAGCATTTGGTCCCAAAATAGTTGTGAGTATATTTCGTTTTACGGTTTTATGAAACTCATCATAATCACTTGTTGCAACCATGCATTTATCGAAAGTAAGGATCTTCAATGCTTTAGTTAACTTTCTTGTTGATATTGATGAAAATCTGGTCACCATGGCCTGAAACAAACAAAAAAAAGTTAGTGAGTTGCAAGTTGCAACCATGTTGTTGTGTTTTCCTTGCAATTAATGAAAGGATTAGGATTTAATAATTTTTTTTAAAAATGGATTAGGATTTAATCTTGTTCTACCAATTATAAGGAATTTGAGAACAGGATGGCTAGCTTTTCACAGTGTGTCTGATATATATATATATATATATATATATATATATATATAATGAGATATATATATCTTCCATGGAATGGCAAATCAGTCCTCTGTTCACAGGTGATTGATGGATGCCGGCAAAGTAAATTAAGCAAAGTCCAAAAAGAGGAAAGAAAGTTTTAACAACATTGTTGGCACCAGTTTGAGGACAAAATCATTAGAATTGAGGTACCTCCTTGACAACGTCATTAGAATTGAGCACAACAACAGTGTTGGCACCAGTTTTGATGGAATAGACTGGTCCATAAATCTCAGCCCATTTGCTAAAAGTTTTGTGTGGCTTTTTCTCTTTCAGTTGCAGCAGATTTCCGATCACCGGCCACCCTGGTACCTCTGCACCCAATACAAACCAAATCTATATATATAAATATACATATTTTATTTTCAATATTAAGACATTGATACAAAAAAAAGAAAGAAAAGAAAAGATGAGTAGTACCAGGTAGATTTGGGAGATCATTGGAGTGTTGTTTCTTCTTATTATCATTGACATATCCTCTAATGAACCATATTGAAATACCAACCAGAGCAACTGCTGTTCCCAAAGCCATTGCTTGAACAAGATTTAGAATTGAAATACCAACGAGAGCAACTGCTGTTCCCAAAGCCATTGCTTGAACAAGATTTAGAATAGCCTCGGTTAATGCCATTGAATGAATATTTTATTTTTGGAAGTTAAAGCAACTGACTGATGGAGTGGGGATTCGAACCTGGTCCTTTGGCCACAAGCAAACAAGCTAGAGATAGAGGTGCCAAAGTGATTTTATTAATATAGAGCATTGAATTTGTGGCAATACATTCTCCTCTCCATCTCAAATTATGATTGTTATATATAGGAGTAGGCTTAATGAAGGACGACAACTACCAGCGAGTTGGAATCTTCCTCTTTCCTTCATTCGGAATTCTATGAGTTTCAGGATTGGCAGCTTCTGTTATCTTAATGTTTGTCATTTTCTATGTGTTTGCTAGCTTGATGCTATGTCTTTTGTAGCTGTGCTCTCCTTCAGCATTTGGCCTTTTAACTCATTCTATATAAACATGAGAATTGTTGGCAATTGATCATTCGGTTTATAGGAAGACAAAGAGATTGTTTTGTTACATAGTAATGGATAAGATACGCTCCATGAAGATGGAATATACGCTCCATGAAGATGGAATATCAGTGGTATGTACTATGTGGTTCATGTTTCTGCTTTTATTTAGTTTATACCTCTAATATTTGGAAATTGCCCCTCTTAGAATTTCTCCATTCTAAAAATTTCTCTCATTCTTCTTTTATATTCTACTTTTATTATTCTTCTAATTTCTTTGATATCTTTCAAAATATTTTGCATTTATCTTTCTTCAAACTTATTTTTCCCCTTCAAAGTTGCCTCATTTTTCTTTTCCTTTTATTTTCTTTCCCCCCTCCCCTTCCTTTTCTCTTCTTAAATTTTTTCTTACACTATGTATGCGTGTGCAATAACATATTTTTTTTTCACTCTTATTATTTTTCTTCTCTACTTCTTCTTTAAATTTATTATTATAATTTTAGAAACTTAATGTCCATATTTTATGTTTTGAAATTTTCCCTCGTGCAATTTCTTTGCAAATAACGGCATACTGTTTTGAAATTTCTTTACCATTATAACCCTTTTTTCTTTAAACTTGTTATCTTGCAACACTGTTAGTCCGCATGTTAGTTAAGTGAGTATGTATCTATATGTATACAGACTATGTACTTATTGCATGAGTTGACTAGGATGTATTCGTTTCTTAAGTCTCTATGAGATGTAAGTAGAAAGAACTTGTTTGTGGCCTGACCAACTATTTATTTTTCAGGTCTATGTTAGTACCAGGTGTTGATTTTGTTCGTGCAGAGCAGAAACCAGTCATCATTATTCTTCCAGTTATCTGCATAGGATTCTAGTTTTTGTTTACAGTGTTCATATGTAGACAATTATTATTGTTACTTGTTTTAGTTTGGGATTTTCTAGGGGTCCACACAGTATGGATTCCCGAGTTGTATAATTGGAGGATTATTGGTATTAGAGGAGATTATTATTTAATGAAAGTTATTTTTGAGGATTTAATTATTATTCTAGTTTTCATTTCAACATTTTATTTATTCTTATTTATCCTTTTGTATTCTGTGTTCGTTTATTGACATATTGTTTCTAATGCGTGTCCCCGGGTATTCAGGCGTAGGCTGGCGAACCAGCATTTGAAAATCCGGGGGTATCACAAGCCTCAATCTACAAGCTCTTGAAGAGATATCACTAAAAATGGCAGAGATTTGGAAGCATACCACATAGCAAATTGGCAAAATAGGCATTGGATATATATGTGATACTGTAGCGAAGACCAAACAAACTCACTCTATGTTTGTAAAGGCCAAAACTGGTGAAGTGTATGCAAGATTCCCCATTATAAAACCAACAAGGTCTAAGTATGACATATTTGACAACACATATCACACCCTGAGGTTTAGCAGAAGTGACTTTATTACTACAACATGAGAAACTTCAAGGTTACTACGATGTGCATGAGAAAACAGACTTATGATAAACGATGAATATTGCATATTCGAGCCCTTAAACGTGCGTATGATAAGGCCTTAATGATACTTTTATCTTGATTCTTATGTTTATTTTTATTCATTTGTTATTTGTTGTTTTTTACCCAAAGAGACGGTCAATTTCATGTATGTAGAGATTACTGTGATGCTCCTGATGCTTAGAGACATGTTCGGGGCCTTCCGGATCAATTCGGCACTCAAATGGGGAAGTTTTGATGAAATTCAGCATATAGGGCTCGAGCACCCTTAATAGGGCTCGATCACCCTCAATAGGGCTCAAACACCATGATGGAAAAAGTTAGGAAAATGGCTAAGTATGGAGAAAAAGACGCTTCGAAACTTTTTGGGTCAAAATTTGTCTGTGTAAAAATAAGGCTCGAGCACCCTCAATACAACTCGAGCACCCTTAGCACAAGGCTTAAGCATCCTTAACAGGGCTCGAGCCCTGTCATCCTAGAACTTAAAAATACATATGGGAAAGTTGTTAAATCAACATTTTTGGTCCTAAATGGGCCCAATTGCCTCCAAAAGTTGTAAAGCCTGTCTAAGAAGGGTTAGGACTCAGTTTCTCCTATAAAAGAAGATGAAAGGACATAAAAGAATCTCTCTCTTCTCCTTCTTAGTTCTCCTACCTTGTGGCGGCTTTTAGGGTTTTGAAAATTGAAGATTCCAATTGGCGGTCCATGGAGATGGTTTCTACACCAACAATGATGATATCCTTCCTCTCCATGAGTAGCTAAAGCATTCCTTAGGGAATTGATGTAACTCTAGTCTGAGTAGAATGGTTTGATTGTTCTTAACTTTAAAGATTTTTCTATGTATATTGATTGTATGATTGTGAGCAATTGACTTAGTTATACTAAGCAATTGGGTTCTAATAATTATACTCAATTTTAATAAAATTAATCTCTCGTCTTAGAATTAATCTTATTTCAATTGAATTGAACCCTTCTATTGTGAGAGATTGGCAGCTAAGGGCTTCTATGATACCCCTTGATTCCGGAACAGGGGTTGATCAAGTCCGCGCACAAAATCAGGGGATATTAGCCAATCAATAATAAGCAAGCACAGATTTACAAAAGAAATAATAATAAAATAAATATCGCTAAAAGGGAAATTTAAAATAATAATTAAATAATAAATCCTCTGATACCGTAATCTCCAATAAATTCTCATTATAAGAATAAACCTCTAGAGTACAAATTGGGAATCCATACAATGTGAACGTACCCTTAATAAAAATCCCAAACTAATAGATGGAATAAATAAATGTATAACTCAAAAGTAATAAACATTAACGAAAAGATAGTGGAGGTTCTACGTCGACGACACCGGAAGAGTGATGAAGACTGGCCTTTGCTTTGCATGAATTGACTCTACGTTTGGAACTATTGAGGACCTGAAAAGATAATAACAAAGGTGGGTCAAAACCCACGAACAAGCCCTTTCTAGTACATCCTAAATAGAGACCCGATAAACGATACATCTTAGTCCGATTCATGTAATAACTACGTAGGTCAATATACATAAGTATACACACTATGGACTCTCACTGGATCATAAGATAGCCTCAACCGGATAATAGGTCTCATGCAAGCGCATACAAGGTGGTCATGAGTACCTTTTCTACCAGGGCACACACATCCCTATATCCAGCTACCCATCTCACTTGGCAATATACACCAACCCTAACCATCGATCCCGAGATCTCAAGCTCGTATCATGTTACACACTCAAAATATACATATGTGAGTAACCTACAGCCATATCTTAACAATGGCCCAATTTAAGGTTATAACCATACCGAAAGTAAGCGTCTTTTTCATCAACACCTAGAATATTTTGTGACTTCTTTTTTAGGGTGCTCGATCACCTTGGCTTGGTGCCCGAGTCTTTAGAGTTTTGCTCGAGCTTGGAGAGAAAAAGTAGGTTGTGGGTAGGTTAATTACATGAAATTTTTCAATGTTTGAAATCAGATATTTATGAGTCTCACGTTATTGCGTATTTTGTGCATAGAGACCATGGTGTTATATTCTGTGCTTTGAGACCATGGAGTCACATTACATACACGCCCATACAAAAAAGAAAAAAAAAAAGAAGAGATTTTTTAAAATTAATTAATAACTTTTAAGGTTTGTCAAAGTGGGCTTATATAGGTCTCACGTTATTGCGTCACGTGATTGAATTGGGATTTCACCATATAAAAAATTTGCACGTTTTAGTGGCGTACAGATGAGGATCCCAACTCAACGGTAGTTGTTTGAGGTGCATAGAACGTTTGGTGGGACAAAAGGTAATATCATATAACATCCATTATTTAACTGCGGATAGGATTATACTATTATATTATTGTAAACATGTTTGAAAATGGAGGACGGCTTATTATTATTATTTTTCTTCTATTTTTTTAATTTTATTTTTTTGAGAAATTTTAGCAAAACGTCCACACAATCAATGAGCTATTATCTCAATGGTATAACCTTTCTTACCTTCCGAAAGTAAGGAGGGGTTTGTTAGGAATTATGTCTCAAATTCTCATAATTATTAGTTTCTATTTTAGAGTATATTTTTATGGTAATTTCTTATAGAGACGTGAATTGGGCTCTAAGAAATTGTAATCCTTGTCTACAAAGGAATTGGATATGTGACTCTATAAATAGACACTTAGGCTATTGTTGAGAGTTATGACTTAAGAGAGATGTAGCCTCATGAGGGAGTACGTTGATGGTAGGGGTGAGTTACGGGTTTGGTAGAGTGAACACTGATGGCGAGAGGGAGTCTCGTGGAGTACATGGAGAACTCGGTTAATAGTTTGTGTGCATGGTCCGGTGTTGAAATTCTCTACTATTGTAATATCTCAACATATATAGTGAATCTCTTCTCATCCGTGGATGTAACCCTAATTTTGGGTGAACCACGTATATATCTTGTGTTGTGGTTTAAATTGTTGTTTTCTTTCTTTCTTTTGTTTCCGCTGTGCCCCAACAGGGTTTGAGTTTGGCATGACTAACACGCACACACACTAATAATATTGTCTCACACGCACACACACTAATAATATGTTCTTTAACATGACTCAACTATTTAACTTCT